GCCCCCCTCCCTGCGCCCCGGCCCCAGCCGCGGGCTCTGCTGCGGCGCCTGCGTCCCCATCCCCGCTCGCGCTGCTGCAGCTCTGTCACCAAGCCCAGGCCCCAGGGACAGCGCTCCCGAGCTGCCTAGTGCTTCCTAGGGAGAGGCAGGGGAAGGGGAGCGAAAAGCAGGGCTTGGCTGGATCGAGGGTCCAGCTGTTTTCAGCTCTCTCTAGGGCTAGTGGTGCTGTGGGGCCCTCGTGTAGCTTCTGTTGCCATTTGTTCCGGTTGCAGTATGTACATGTGTTTGTGCACCTGGGGACGCACTCCTGTGCAGAAGGACTGGGGCTTTTCTGTCAACTTTCTCTTATTTGGCCTTTTCCCCTTTTCAAATCTTTTCTCTAAAGCCAGCTGTTATTCTCTCCCCAACCTGTCTTTATTTTATAGTTTTTTTTTTTTTTAAAGAAGAGACTGCTTTCAGGCTCTCCTCTGTGTGCTCCAGTAGATTTTGGGTCCCTATCTTTTCACGTTGGTCTCTGTTGTATTATCTCTTTTTTTCCTCACAGAAATCCTTCTTCCCTCTCTCTCAGACCTCTTCTCCGAGTGGCTCTTTGGAATAGTTGTAATAATATCAATAGTTCCAGCTTGAGAAAATGTATGAAGCCCCGTAGCTTCCTACTCACTTCATTAATAGGTACATGCTTATCCCCGTTTTGCAGGTGGGTAGACAGACATAAGAGAAACAGTAACTTCTGCCAAGCGTTGCAGTGATTCTGTGGCCAGTGGGTTTGTGAACACGGGAGAGATGAGCCTTGTTGTCTGATGTAACTGCTGGGATGCTGTCTCTGGGAGATGGACTTCCCGACTGGTGCTCTCAGCGTCATCCTGGGCTGCTCGTCTTTCATTCGTCACTCCTTTCATGTTATGTTTCTGTGATCATACAGTCCCCTTTGCCCTGTCCCGCGTGCTGTGCTTACTCCCCGGTCTGCTAGGGGGCTTGAGGGGGCTGCCGATGGATGCCGAGTGCCAGGCGGCCTCGGCTTTATTCTCTGATCAGACGTTGTGTTCAGGGTGCTCATCTGATTCTCGTGCATTGTTTCCCCCTCCTGTTTGTGTTCTCTGCTGTCTTTAGTCAAGCCCACTCGGGGTAGGAATTGCTACCAGGGCGTTTTTATTTCCAGTTTCACAGCTTCTACCCCTTTTCTTCTAGGGGAGCCTTCTCTGTGGTCCGCAGATGTGTAAAGAAAAGTTCTTCACAGGAGTATGCTGCAAAAATCATCAACACCAAAAAACTATCAGCCAGAGGTTAGTGTCCTGTTCTGCCTGCTTTCTTGTATTAATGGGAGGCATTTGACTGGAACTAAGTTGTACTTTAAGGGATTTGGAGTTGGTTGTCTTGGTCATTATTTATGTGTTACAAAATAATTGACCTGCATGTCAAATAGGAGATAGAAAGGAGGCAGCGTAGAATGATGGAAGCACCTCTGTATCTGGAAATGGGCGCTTTCTGAAACACGGTTATCTTTTTTTCTTTTTGATATATTTCCTTTGAGAGATGAGCTGAAAGACTTGTCTAGAGATGTGTGCACCAATTGCTCATATAATTGTTGCAGATTGATTTTGCTGAATGACTTTTCTACTTGGGAGATCTGTTTTGTCAGAAGAAAAGTGCTCTTGAAGGATAGTTGCTGTAGGTCTTACTCCTTTCAGATTGTAGCTGAGCATGGTAGTGGTTTTTTGTTGGTTGGTTTGGTTTGTTTTTTGTTTGTTTGTTTGTTTGTTTGTTTTTAAATCAAATTTCTCTTTAAAGACAGAAGTAGGTTGGATGGAGAAATCTTGTTTTTCAGCGGGTTAGTTGTAATACTTCTTGCTTGCCTCAGCTTCCAAAGTTTTCAAAAACCTGAGCCCAGGCACATGGTTTAAGAAAACACAGACGATATGAACTGTGTTCTTACAACTTTTCTAGGGACATATATATACCCATATATATATATATATATGCAGAAAGTGTAGTGAATCTTTCAGTATGTAGGGAGTATGTACAGAGATCCTTCTAGTTTGACAAAATTTGCATGTTAGGTGCTTTGTTTTCTTATTAGTTGAGTGGATGGCTTAGACAGTTAGGGGGCTGATGAAGAAGTGAAACATAAGCAGGAGGAGGAGGCACGTGATTTTGATAATAAAGATTTAGAAGTGAAGAATAATCACTGATCCCCTAAAAGTATGATACACTGTTTCTCTTGTGCCAGAATATGAAATGTGATGATAAGAAGATGACTTGAAGTGTGACAAATAATTTCCATTTACTGTAGTTTACATGGAGAAGTAGTAACACAAGTGAAGAGGGTGTCAGTGATGTGAAGGAGGATGATTTTCAGAATTCTGGAGCTTAAGTGTATGTGATTTTTTTTTTTTCTTTTTTTTTTTTTTCGTAGTTTCTAGCCTGAGTAAAGTGTGAAGTCATGCTGGGAACCAAACAGTGGTGCCTTGGATGGGTTGGGAAAAGGAGGCGGCTGCAGAGCCTGTGTGAATTGGCCTCTCCTCTGCGGTCAGGTGACAGTGCCCACTGCAGTAGGTGGGACACCCAATCTCTTCAGTTCAAAATTAGTTCAATTTGATATGGGAGAGGCCCAAAGGGCTGTTTTGCTTTGCTGACAGCCATTATGCCGTGTTCTCCCGGCAGTGTTCCCCGACCATAGTCCCCGTTAGCTGGGACTAATGTTCGGGAGAGCCACCCTCTTAGGTGGAGGTAGACACGTGCCTGCTTAGGGAAGGGAGAGGTTAGCTCAGTAAAGTCCTTGCAAATGAGAAACCATTTTCTCACAGAAGGGATGGTGTTGAAATTAACTGTGGTAGCGATAAGAGAAATGAGAAACACTGCAGGACTAATAGAGTCGTAACAAAATTCAGAGGCATATCACATATCTGAAAGAAGTAGAAAATGTGATTGTGTCAAATTTGAAGTGTTTGGGCAGCTAGTGAGTTACAGAGGGAGCAATATATGGATTTTAATTGCTTTTTCATATTAAGGTGATGACAGTTTTGTCAACCATGAAGTAGGAGAAGTAACTGTGGGTGAATACTGTCTATGTTCTGATGTACTACTTCTGTATCTCATGCCTGCCCATTGGTAAATAATATTTGGGATACTAAGTTGATGACAGGTGCTGAGCTTGAGAGAGCTGGAGATGCTTTACCCGCAAAGGTATGGCTTAGGTAGAGGGCAAGTTTGGGATGAGCCAAGAAATGAAAAGTGTGTTTGTGCTAAAACAGAGAAATACCAGAAACCAGTAGTAGTCAGTGACTAGGTTTTCTTGAAGTCTGAGAACTAAGAAATCAGCATTTAAATTGAAAAGTGTGTGTGTGGGGCTGACTTCAGCTGAATATGTAGGTTCATCAGTAATTCCAGCTGTGCTTCCTGATAGCTCAAGCAGTTAGTGTGAGAGGGGACCAAGCACCAGGTGCCAGCATTGATATAGGAACTTAGCGAATTCACCTTGAAATGGCTCTTTAAAGCACTGAGGGAAAAATAAATGCTGTTCATTCATTGCAGCTGTAAATCGGAGATTAGGGAGATTGGATCCAGCAACCTGGAAATGCAAGATTTGGACAATGGCATTTTAGAAAGCTGTCTTGCGCAGCAGGGAGCCATGGTATTAATTCGGTGGTATCCTGGTTATGCTTTGCCCGATGCCTCCTTTCCCTGAGGTAGCGCTTCTCTGCATTGAGGCCGCGTGTCTGCCTGGCTGGCAGTGTGCGCTGGATGTCCCTGCGCTGCCGGAGTGTCCCTCTGCTGCGGCTCTGCGCCTGCCTTCCACGCTCTCGGTTGGGGTTCAGGCTTCGTGTAGCTCCAGAAGAAGATTCCTTCGAGTATGGGACATTCTTCCCGCTCGCGCTTAAGCATTGTTGAACTGAATGTCGTGCACCTTCTGCAGCACAGTTGGAACCTACAGCTCCCCCAAGAAGTAAGAGCTGCTTTGCCAACAAGCCGCAGGCTGCCAGCAAGGAGTGCAGCCCCTCACTGCTTCACGTGAGCTTGGCCTGCTGTAGAGCTTCCCTTGACTGTGTCTGGGGAAGCTGTAACAAAGTGTTGCTCTCCTTCCACAAATACTTCGTTACCCATGTTTTTCAAGACCTTTCATAAACAAGTAGTATGTAGCTGATGGGGAAATGCTGAATAGACTGATACGCCTAACTGAAAAGGAGAAAGAGGAACACTGGAGGGCAAATCGTATGTGTTTAAACCCTTCTTTCTTGCTTGGTATGTTTATCAAACCAGTTTTTCAAAGCAGTAGCCAGCTGAAGAGGCTTGGTGCCCTTACAGGGCTGGTCCCTGAAAGCAGGGAGAATCAATGTAGTGTTGCTGGTTATGAAGAGCAGTCCTCACAACTTCAGTCCAGTCAGCTTCATCTTCTGAATGGACTGAAGTGAGATGTTGAGAGGAGAGTCTCTGTTTCAAGTTTGTCTTTAAGATGCCTATTTTCTCTCTTCTGTTTTTTTAAAAAGTCTATGTCAAGTTTGACTAGGTTAAAATTCACATTTGGGCTTTGAAGAACTATATAATATAGTTTGTGTTGTGTAAATGCATAGGACTGCCCAGTGAAGAGTATATCAAGATGTTTAATGTTAAGTTGGGGTCAAATGCATGTGGAAAGGGGAGAAAAGTAGTCTTTGCCTTAGTCAGCTTTCAGCTGACATGCAAGAGCAGTGGTTATTACACATGTGGGAAATACAATGCCCCAGTCATCTGGAATTCCTATGGGATTGAACATGCAGACATTCACCAGGGCTGTGGGCAGAGGGAAGTAATAACTGTAATTTGTGGGAAGTTTTCTTGTGGGTGCCCTCAGATTACTGTTTAACTATGAAAATTCATAGAAAGTAATGCTTTGATTCCAGGGCAGTGATGAATTTTGGATCATGAAAAGCAATTAGTATATTCAAATTAAAAGAGAAGCAATAGACTTTCAGAGAATTTTCCAGGATTTGACTTTCCAATAATAGAGTGTCTTTGGTTGGGAGAAAGTTTCTTGAGGGTGGTGATGGAAGCCCCAGTTATCTCTTATTTTAAGATTCGCTGTCCCAAATATGTTTTAGAAGATAGTCCTGTATTGGAAAGAAATAGGCAGAGATCCTTCCTGTGATAGTTCTTAGGATATTGTTCATATTATGCAGCCGCATAGTGTATAACAATCCTACTACCAGGTTTGGGGAACTTTGGTTCTCATGTTTTTGGGGAATGTATGTGCATCACATCTGTTGCTAAATTTGTCTGCTGCTGAAAATCTGTGTCCTTGAACAAGTGACAAGTCCCTTGTGGAAAAAACAAAGAGCAGCGTCTTGCATGTTGGCCCCTCCCCTCCTTTCCCCCTCTTGCCCCAGAACGGGGCAGTGGGGAGGGGGTGAGGGGAGTGGGTTCTCTCCCTGTTCTCAGTCTTGCTCAGAAACGAACTTAAAAAGGAGATCTCAATTTGCAGTCTCCCTGGTTGACTTTGCTCCTGCAGGAGATTATGTGGATTGCGGGCAGAGCAGGGAATTGCTGCTCTGTACCAAATGCTGATACCAAACATCTCTCCAGCTCAGCTTCCCTCCTGTGGCTCCCTCGCCCCGGCGGCTGGCTCCTTAGCTGCTGCCAATTGGGTTATAGTGTTTTTCATGGGAAGTCCATAGTGGTTACCCCCGTGCTGGAGCCTTGAGCTCGAATGCTTCCAGGTATGTTTAGCCGCATCCAGCCCTGCCCTCTGCTGTGGTAGCTTTGTGTGTATGTTCTTAGCCCACGGCTGACTTGGACTCTTGACTGTTCTTGTGGCTGCCAGCTCTCCAGTACCCTGTGGGCGACAGCGAGGCAGCAGTGGTGCCCCGCAGCCTTGTGCGGGCAAGGACAGCCCCGCTCGGCTGCTGCACGGGCTCTGGGCGATGAGCAGTGTCCTGTGGTGTCTGCGGGCTGGGCATGAGTGTCCTTTCTTGCAGAGACAGCAGATCAAGCCATGTGTGCTCAGCTGCGCTTGCGGAGCTGCCAAATGGGGTCCGCTCATTTGGTGTGGGAGAGTGGCTGCCCTTCCTGCAGGCCGGGCCCCAGGTGAAGCGCTGTGCTGCTTGCCCGGCCCCTGTGCTCCTGTGTGTTGGAGTCGTAGAGATGCTGTGGCTAGGGGCCGTGTGGGAGAGGAGCTGCAGCGCTCCCCGGGCACGTTTTGAGAGGCCCTCTGGCTTGCGGGGACAAGGGCGGCAGCGGCGTGCGGGGCCGCTGCGAGCGCAGCGGGCCTGGGTGCGGCGCGGGGCTCGCACGCTGATGTCACGAGCTGCAG